AGAGACACGCCGCTTGCACAGACACGGCCACTGGTCGACACTTAGCCACATTTGAGCGTGACCCAGGGCCATGTCTCTTTACACTGTACACTGAATCCCCACCAACTGCTACGTCTTCCGCGGTTGCCGTGTCCTGCTCCTGTCGCTCCATAGCCCACCCGACCCTCCTATGGCACCACCACTTAGGTCACCCTGCTCTCCTGCGTCTTAGGCACATGTCCCAGCACGGTCTAGTCACTGGTCTCCCTGCGTCGCTTTCCGCCCTCCCTACGTCGGTAGCGCCACTGTGCACGTCCTGCGTCGAGGGCCGGCAGCGCGCCACCCCTCACTCCTCCTCGTTTCCTCGTCTTGGGCCCTACCCCGGTCCATGGTCTTAGTCGGGAGCGTTACTTTCTATTCATCGTTGACGACTTCTCGCGCTTCACCACAGTGTTCTCGTTGGAGTGGAAGGCCGACATGCCTACCGTTCTCCTCCCGTGGCTTTTTACTATTTGCACCCACTACCGCTTGCCTGTAGGTTGCATACACTCTGACCGTAGTGACGAGTTTGCCTCTGGCACTCTAGTACAGTTCTGTCGTGTGAAGGGCATCTGCCAGACCTACACATTGCTGGACTCCCCACAGCAGAATGGGGTCGCTGAGCGACGCATCGGCCTGATCATGGAGGTAGCTCACACCTCCATGGTCCACGCTGGTGCACCCCATTTTTTGTGGCCGTTCGCCGTGCGCTACGCTGCTCACCAGCTTAACCTATGGCCGCGCTCCCAGCGGCCACATGTTTAGCCGATCCTCCTCTGGACCGGGTCTCCTGGCGACTCGTCTACATTCTACGTCTGGGGCAGCCTTGCTCACGTCCACGACACTCGCGCAGACAAGCTCTCAGCCCGCACCCTTCCTTGTGTCTTCCTAGGATCTTCGATTAACGCCTCTGACTGGCTGTTCTACCACCCGTCACACCACCGCTTTTACCACTCTCGTGACGTTACCTTCGATGAAACACTCCCCTACTACCGGCGCTTCTTGCACCACGGCGCTCCTGTGCCTCCTCCTCCTCTCTTCCTTGTCCCTGTCGTGCCTGCCGCACCCCTCCTGCTCTGCCTGGCCTAGACTGGTATCTCCGACACCACTCAGTTCCCATCGGTTGCGCCTGTGAGGGAGTCGGCTGAATCTGGGGCCCCAGCTGCTGGGGGTGTGCCTTTTGTCCCTGTGGCGCCTCCCCCAGCATTGGTACCCCAGTCACCTCAGCCCCCCCCCCCCCCCCCCCCCCCCCCCCCCCCCCCTTGCCTCAGCAGCAGCAGCAGCCACCACAACAGACTCAGCAGCCGCAGCAACAGCAGCAGCAGCAGGGAGCAATGGGCTCTGGGGGTGCTGGTTCTCGGGGTGTTGCTGTTGGAGGTGTTGGTGTTGGGGGTGTTTGTTCAAAAGGTGCGATTTCTGGGTGTGCTGACTCTAGGGGTGCTGGTTATGGGGGTGCGAGTTCTGGGGGTGCCAACTCCGGGGGTTCTAGTTGTGTGGGTGGTGCGTCCAAGGGTGCTAGTCTTGGGGGTGCGGTTTCGGGGAGTGCCAATGGCAGCAGGGTGCCGCTGGAGGTCCTGGAGAGGACAAGGAGTAGTTGCAGCCACAGCAGCAGCAGCCGCAGTAGCACGCGCAGCCGCCGCAGCAGAAGCAGCCGCAGTCCACCCTTCGTCTCCTTGGTCTTGCTCCAGGTTCCCCTGTCCGCCCACTTGTTCCCCTTCCGGTGCGTGACCCTGTTTACGGCCCGTTGTTCCCTCCTCCGGACTCCTCTCTCACTCGCTTTCCCCAGCGCTCCCCTTCGTCCCCTGACTTGTCCCCCGTTCCCCCTCGTCCTCAATCCCCACTTCTTCCCCACTAGGTCCGTTGCCCCACTGGTGCTCATCCTGTCTCTCCTCGCCCTAGTGTCCACCCTATGGTTCTTCCTTCACGTGCTCATATAGTTGCAGTCCTCCCGTTGCCTCCCCCATCATCGCTCCCGTCGTCCCCCCCTCCTCACTCCGACTCTGCTCGCACTGCTCATTCTACCCTCTCGCGCTTGCTTGCGTCGCTTGTCACCGACCCTACTGCTCCTCCTCAGAATGTCTCTGCGCTTGTCACTGCTGTCACTTACTTCGCTGCTAGCCACCGCCTTGACTACACTGCTGCTCTTGTCTCTGGTACTGCCCGTCCTCCGTCCGTCAGGGGTGCACCTTCCCTTAGCAGTGACATGCTAGAGGACTGGTAGTACGAGTTGGCCTACCTTGCTGCCGCTGTACCCCATCCCTGCTCCATGCTTGTATCCCCAGAGGGTGACCAAGATGCTCTCGACATCCCTGTTCCGCGCTCTTACGCTGAGGCGGTGTCAGGGCCCTGGGCAGCCTAGTGGATACAGGCCATGGAGGTTGAAATGGCATCTTACAGTTCCACAAGCACTTACGTTGACACAGTTCCCCCGCCTGGGGGTCGACCCCCACATGTCATCGAAGCTTACAGGGTGAAGCGCACACCTAGAGAGCCGTCGAAGTTCAAGGCGCGTTACGTGGCTAGAGGCTTCAGTCAGCGTGAGGGTATGGACTTCATCCAGACCTTCTCTCCAACGTCAAAGATGACTACTCTTCGGGTGCTCCTTCACATAGCCACCCAGGGTGACTACAAGCTTCATTCACTCGACTTCTCCACAGTGTTCCTGCAAGGTAGTCTGCACGAGCAGATCTACCTCCGACGCCCTCTATGCTTCTGTGGCTCCTTCCCACCTGGGACCAAGTGGAGCTTGTGCCGCCCTGTCTACGACCTTCGTCAGGCACCTCGTAAGTGGCACGACACACTTCGCACTACTCTTGCCGAGCTGCAGTTCTTTCCGTCCTCTGCTGACCCCTCTCTCTTTGTTCGCACGGGTCAGTCATCATTCTACATTCTAGTATACGTAGATGATCTTATTTTTGCTACTCGTGACAGAGTTGCATTGGCCTCAATGAAGGCCAAGTTAGTTATGAGACACACCTGTACAGACATGGGAGAGCTGAGGCGCTATCTGGGCTTAGAGATTTCTCGTGACCATGTCGCTCACACGATCACACTCTCTCAGTCCCATACGGTGCAGCAGATCCTCAAGAGTTTCAGTCTCCAGTTCTCCTTAACACAGCCCACCCCTCTGTCTTTGGATCACAAGCTCTCTGCTCCTGTTCCGGCTGAGTCGGTCGAGGCTAGCGGTCCATCCGGGGAGCTAGTGCGGTGACACATATACATGATAACCTGCACTCGTCCAGATCTAGCGTACCCTCTCGCTCAATTGGCTCGCTTTGTTGCGATACGCAGGCACTGACCTGTTCACTGGTCAGCTGCTTAGAGGGTATTGCGGTATCTGGCAAGTACATCATGACTGGGGCTTGTGGTAGGAGGAGGAGAGCCAGTGGTGCTCACTGGACACACAAACGCGTCGTGGGCTGACGACGTGGAGACGCTACTCAGGGCTACTGTTTTAGTCTTGGTGTTGGTGCAATCTCGTGGAGGTCCACCAGGTCGTCGTCTGTAGTTCAGTCCAGTTGTGAGGCAGAGATCTATGCTGGGGCCATGGCCTGCTCTAGACCTCCGCTGGCTGACGTTCTTGCTCATTGACTTAGGTGAGCAGCCTAGGTCTACCCCGCTTCTGCTTGCTGACAATAGGGCCATGATCCTCCTATGTCAGGAGGCTCGACTTGAGGGCAGGGCGAAGCACATCCAGCTGCGCTGCTGCGTGAGTTGCAGTAGCGCGGCCAGGCTTGAGTAATACACGTGGCCACAGAGGCCAACACCGTTGATGTTTTCACCAAGGCACTACCGCCTCGTCACCATCGGCGGTTTTGTACTCAGCTTGGTCTAGTCTCAGTAGTAGTGCCACTCCTTGTATCCTAATATCTACTATACTGGCTGAAACATGCTATTTCTATACCTGCATGTCTTGCTACACCTATTGACTGGCCTTGTGGCCTCTTGTCTCAATGGTCAGACTAATAGTGCTACTTTGAGTTGTCTTGTTACCTTCACCAGAGGCTAGACAAGTAGTGTTGCCCTGGTTTGTGAAACTCTACCACTACCTAGGCTAGGGGGTGTGTCAACAAATATATTGTTTTATCTATACATATCTAGTTGGTTAAGATATGTTTGTTATAGCGTAGCTAGGTCAGTTCTTAGAGGGGACAATATTTTTGTACGTGTATCTCCCCTCCCCTCTTCCTAGTCACACTTTTTCCCAAGGCTTTACCTAACCTCGCTTCGACACTTCGAGGCCCTTCGATATCCTTCCCAAACCTTATCATGATACAAGTAGGATTAGGCTTGGTGTTCGTATAAATTGTATCATCATTCATTGTATTGGCATTCACTCATGAGGGCGGATTCCTACGAAATGGATCCAGCGAAGTTGGATCTAGATTTGCGCAATAACTAATGTATAGCAAAATCATCCATCCAACAGAACATGAGCATTATTACAATTCAGTACTTAGTATAAATTCTTTTGTGCATTCAAGTGCCAATGCTAGTCATCATATGACAAGTTCATAATCTGTACAATCCATTAAATTCCACTGTATTGTGAGGTATCATGCTGGGCCACCAACAAGATCACCAACCGATGTCGAACTTACCTGGAACATCCGTGACATCAATTTCTGCTCGTTCCACGCCCAAGGGGAATCTCACCCGTTGGCGGAGGAACAGCCCTGACGATGCCGAACCCCGCTCCACGTCACCCTCGAGAGTGGATGGTTATGCCGCGGATGTCAAAAGTTCTCCGGCACTTGGCCCCACGACACCCAAATCCACATCGATTGTGACGGGGTGCTGATGTGGTCGGGAAACACCGGTGGGGAGTCTGGGACCACCAGCCAGGACTGAACACAACATAGCACAAGGACAACGCGCTCCGTCATCTGCCTCGAGGTGTGTACGTACAGCACACCTCGCGCCTCCCGCGCTGAAGACGTAAAACCAGCACTCGACTCGACGCACATCATAATTCCATCTCGCATTGACACAGCTCCCAAGGTGCATCGTTTCCACAACTTCCTCTCACTGGCTGATCCCAGCTCGTTTTCAGCCATCATCGCCATTGTCGCCCACATCGGCTGACCCCAGCTCTCTCGTATCAATTGCTATCAGCCTCGAGGTGACATTGGCATCTTGCACTCGACCTTGGGAGCTCCTTCAAGCCTCGTAACACACAAGCAGCAGCAATTATGGCGGGTAGGAATACCACCTTCGGCAGTTCGGCTAGTTTGGCAAGCTGGTTCTAAGACTTGCTTCTTTCACGATACGTGGCTCCCCGTACTGACGTGATATTCGGGTCCCCTTGGCAGGAACTTTCTCCTTCGGTGCTCTCAAGGACGCACCCCCCGCGGCCATTCACCAGGTACGAAACGAGATCGATTGATCAGCCGATTCCGTTGGCTAAAGTCCAGAATTTTCCAAATTTGCAGCGAATGCGGGTCCCAGAAGGCTGAATTGTGACTTTTGCGCGGGTTTAACGCAGTTCGTGGAGGAGGAGCAGCGCCGATTCGATGCGGAGGTCGCGGAGGTCGAGGCGTGGTGGGCGTCTGGTCGGTTTTCTCTCACCAACCGGCCGTACACCGCCAGAGACGTCGTCCGCCTCCGGGACAGCCTTCCCAAGATGTACCCGTCGGGCGCGCAGGCTAAGAAGGTACGCCTGAACTCTTCAAACACACTTCCCGCTAGTTACCGCAGAATTGGATACCAACAGCCCAATTTATAAAGATTTCCGTTTTTTCCCACCGTCACGGTACCCGATTCGCGGCGCTGCACCTTACTTCACTCTGCTGATTCCCTCTTCCCCTGCCACGTCCTCCCTGTTTCCAGCTGTACGCGCTTCTGAAGCAGCACCAGGCCAACGGCACGTGCTCGCGCACGTTCGGGTCACTGGATCCGGTGCAGGTGGCGCAGATGGGCAAGTACCTGGACTCGATCTACGTGTCGGGGTGGCAGTGCGCGTCGACGGCGGCGTCGTCGAACGAGCCCGGGCCGGACCTGGCGGACTACCCGTACGACACGGTGCCCAACAAGGTGGAGCACCTCTTCCTCGCGCAGTCGTTCCACGACCGCAAGCAGCGCGAGGCGCGCTTCAACATGACCAAGGAGGAGCGCGCGCGCTCGCCGTTCGTCGACTACCTGGCGCCCATCATCGCGGACGCCGACACGGGGTTCGGCGGCATCAGCGCGACGGTGAAGCTGGTGAAGATGTTTGTGGAGCGCGGCGCGGCGGGCATCCACATGGAGGACCAGGCGTCGGTGACGAAGAAGTGCGGGCACATGGCGGGCAAGGTGCTCGTGTCCACGCAGGAGCACATCAACCGCCTGGTGGCGGCGCGCCTGCAGATGGACATCATGGGCACGGAGACGGTGCTGGTGGCGCGCACGGACGCGGAGGCGGCGACGCTCATCATGACCAACGTGGACAAGCGCGACCACGCCTTCATTCTCGGCGCCACCAACCCGCGCCTGCGCGACCAGCCGCTCGTGCAGGTGATGGCGGACGCGCAGGCGGCGGGAAAGACGGGGCAGCAGCTGCAGGCCATCGAGGACCAGTGGACGGCGGCGGCGGGGCTGCGCCTCTTCGCGGACGCCGTCGCCGACGCCATCCGCGCGCTGCCGCTGGCGGAGGGCGAGCGCGCGCGGCGCCTGGAGCAGTGGTCCGCGCAGGCGGGCGCGGTGTCGAACGCGGAGGGACGCGCGCTGGCGGCGAAGCTGGGCGTGACGGAGCTGTTCTGGGACTGGGACCTTCCGCGCACGCGCGAGGGCTACTACCGCTTCCAGGGCAGCACCAAGGCGTGCGTGGCGCGCGGCATCGCGTTCGCGCCGCACGCGGACCTGGTGTGGATGGAGACGGCGAAGCCGACCATCAGCCAGGCGCGCGAGTTCGCGGAGGGCGTGAAGGCGGCGCACCCGCAGCTGATGCTGGCGTACAACCTGTCGCCGTCGTTCAACTGGGACGCGTCCGGCATGAGCGACGCGCAGATGGCGGAGTTCATCCCTGCGCTCGCGCGCATGGGCTTCTGCTGGCAGTTCATCACGCTCGCCGGCTTCCACGCCAACGCGCTCGTCACCGACACGTTCGCGCGCGACTACGCGGCGCGCGGCATGCTGGCGTACGTGCAGGACATCCAGCGTCAGGAGCGCGCGTTCGGCGTGGAGACGCTGGCGCACCAGAAGTGGTCCGGCGCCAGCTACTACGACTCGCTCATGAAGACCGTCACGGGCGGCGTCTCCTCCACCGCCGCCATGGGCCACGGTGAGTCGAAAGGGCACATGTTTGGGAAAGGGGGGGAGCGGGTGGGTGGGTTGTGGGGGGAATGTCACGGGCTCTGGAAAATGAAATGAACTGGGGGAAGTACACATGGCGTGGATGTTGGTGAGGTACTTTCTCCGTGCTCTCCCTCCTTTCCCGTGCTGCCTTCTTTACACGGGTCCCTATCACAACTCACTCACCGCCCTAAATTGTTATGTTAAATCTCCCATGGTCTTCTTCCCTAACGCTATCAGGTGTGACGGAGGACCAGTTTGGTGGGGCTGTGTGCAAGATGTGAGTGCCAAGGAGCTGAGGAACACGAGGGGATCTAGCATCGAACTTTCTCCATGAGCCTACTTGCCTGCCTGCCTGCCTCCCTGCTTGCTGCATGGCACAAGGAGCTCCTGGGCAGTGGTTGGTGAGACGAGAGATGCTGGATTTCCAGCAGCAGCAAGAAGAGTGGCATACTGGTACATCTCTTGTGAAGCAGCAGAAGTGCCAGCAAGAGCACACCATCTGTAGGTGACTGTACAAGTGGTCCATACCATGCTCCACACACGTATTTCGTTTCTATTAGTTCACATCCATATTATCACTCCATCTCATCAATGCATAGCAGCTAGCCCCGAGCCTTTTTGTTTCTGTAATGCCAATTGGTATCAATAAAAGTGTCAGTAATCTGGTCCCAAAGAAACACCCAAGTACGTCCCGACATGGCCCCTACTGTCAACAAATATAATTTTCTAGGCTAGCTAGTTTATATTTGTTTTAGCCTTAGGTCCGTTCTTGTAACCCTCTACATTTTCCCTTAGTTCACAATTCTCTCGACAATCTATCATGGCATCTAGAGCTAGGTCTCACCCTCTACTCGTGCTTCCACCCTAACACACCCTAGCCTAGTGCGCCTCGGCCCTGATTGCACGCCTCGTAGCTCGTCCCATCCCCGCCGTCTCCTCTTCGTCGCGTAGCTCACGCCAGCCGCCGCTGGCCCACACTTGCCAGCGCCTTAGTTTGTAGCCGTACCACCTCCTGCCACCCTCTCGTAGCCTGCGCCAGCTCTCACGCTCGCGTGCTCGCCTGCTCGCTTGCTCGCCAGCCCGCCTGTTCGCCAGCCCGCCTGCTCGTCTACTCGCCAACCCGCCAGCCCGCATGCTCGCCAGCTCGCACGCTCGCCTGCTCTCCTGCTTGCCAGCCCACCTGCTCGCCTGCTCAACAGCCCGCCTCCTCGCCTGCTCGCCAGCCAGCCTGCTTGCCATTGTGCCTGCTCGCCAGCGCATCTGCTCGCCATCTCGCCTGCCCGCCTGATTGCCCGCTCGCCTTCTCACCAACCCGCTTGCTCGCCAGCTCTCACGCTTGCCTGCTCGCCTGCCCGCCTGCTCGCCTGCTTGCCAGCAGCGCCACCAGCCAGCACCAGCAGCCAGCTCACAGACTCACCAGCGCCACCAGCACCAGCAGCCAGCAGCCATCTCCAGCTCGCCAGCGCCAGCAGCCAGCACCACCTAGCTCGCCAGCGCCAGCCAGCGCCAGCAGCGCCAGCAGCCAGCTTGCTGGCTCACCAGCGCCACTAGCGCCAGCTACCAGCAGCCAGTGTCGCTTGGGTCAGTCCCTCGGCCAGACTGCGGGGCACTTCCCTCCGCTCTCTGATTTCTCGCTCACTGTCTACATCTGGTGAGCCCGCACCTAGACTGCACCCTCCTAAAGGATCACATTATTTTAGTTACCTCCTTTGCTTCTGTCTCCATGACCTCGACGTCTGCTTCCAGGCTCTCTGGCCAGTGCCACAGCCGCCGCAGCAGCAGCAGCCGTAGTGGGGTCTTCGGGGTGCTGGGCGAGGTGGAGGCTCTGGAGGTGCGGCCCCGAGGTGGTCACTGCCCTAGGGCCAGTGTGGTTTCTCTTGAGGATTGGGGGCCTTGGGGCCTAGGGGTCTAGGTCCCACCACTGTGTCTAGTCTAGGAGCCTCTACTGCATGTCCCCTAGGCTCCTCCCCTACCCCTCTTGCAGTGGCCCTCTCCTTTATCCTTAACTTGGGCACCTCTTGGTGCTTCTTTAGAGATAGTACTACTCTCACCCCGCTTCCTGCGCCTGTCCACGTCGCACTAGCAGACTCCTCTGCCACAGCTGTCGCACGTAGCACCACCACTCTCCCTTGTCCACATGTCCCCTCCGGCTCCCTCACCGGTATGCACATCCCCTCGTTTGCCAGGAACCCAGTCAGTGTCGGTTACCTTCAGGACCATGGGTTTACCACTACATTTCCTGGCCGCGAGAGACACGCCGCTTACACAAACACAGCCACCGGTCGGCACTTAGCTACATTTGAGCATGATTCTGGGTCAGGTCTCTTTACACTGCACAGTGAGTCCCCGACGTCTGCTGCGTCTGCCGCAGTTGCCGCATCCTGCTCCTGTTGCTCCATAGCCCACCCGACCCTTCTGTGGCACCACCACTTAGGTCACCCTGCACTCCCGCACCTTAGGCACATGTCCCAGCACGGTCTAGTCACTGGTCTCCCCGCGTTGCTTCCCGCCTGTGAGAGTACAACCCCGTTACACCAATTTCCCCTTTCCATCTTTCCTTTCTGTTTCATTCCTCTTTCACTCCTGATTCATTTGGTCTTTATCTCATCTCATTTGGTTTCCTATTCCTCATTTTCCATTCTCCTTTGGTTTATCCAGTTATTATAATTATATCACCGACCAGGCTCAGGATGTACTAGCTCGCTGTATCTAGCGTAATCCTGTCGTACTCCCTTAAAGCCAATAGCCTCGCGTGGCTATACGCAAGGTGATTCTATTTCTAGGAGGGTCTATTCCCTTTGGATGGGATAAACCTGGTTACCTGATGTACTATGGAAGTATAAAAGCACCTTGTACTGATTGATAGTGGAACATTGAGCAAACCTCATTCGATCCTGTGGCACTTGGTTATCAGGGCAAAGGTTTCAGCTTAACGCTCAACCGCTGGGCCCCCATGAGCACGCCGAGGATGGAGTCGAAAGTTCAATTCCTATAAGTACAATGCTCTTTCATATTAAGTTTTGACTAACCTCGTGCAGTTGCACCTGGGGTCCCCTACGAAGGCGAGATGCCTCGCCAACCGTTCGATGGACTGCATCGACGGAGCCGATTTTTCGCAGGGGCAGACGGCCTCGACCTCGCGAACGTGTCAATTCTGGCGGAACACTCTCCGCAACATTCCACAAAGTCCGCAGTTCGCCACGACTCTTTGAGTTGCGCCGAAATGCGCAGAGCTGTGATCGACGACATCCGTCCAATGGAGGTCCGACGCTACAGATCGACTGAGGCGAAACGAAATCATAATGAGCGAGTTCGAGTTACAGCGCGAATGGGAACGGGGCCTCGCAAGCCGCGAAATTCTTTGGAGCGTTTGATCGTTCGACAGCCGTCATCGACGACCGAGAATGGCTGCAGGAAACGAGTCAACCCGGGCTCTGAAAGCTGCTGAACGCAACTCAAGAATATGTTCAGATCGCTTGGAGTTTGGACCGTCGGATCGACTTCTACTTCGACGGACGAGATAGAGTGCGACTTCTGCACAAAGGGAGAATAATGCGCAGAACCAAGAATAGCCGCCTTCGACACCGTTCACATCATCTGGACTACCAAATTGGAATTCCTTCATTTGGTGACGACTTTGATGCGCAAATCATCTGCAGAGTCAGAAATCTGTCGAAGAATTACCTACTTGGTATTAGCGGCAAGCAGATAACCGACAGGAGAACGTGGATCGTCGGATTGGTGCGGAATGAATGGCACGAATGCAGCAGAGATTACACTATGGAAAAGCATCATCATAGAGACAACATTCGTGACCAGGGGTTGCACAATCGACGTATCTTCTTACTAGTATCGATAACGATCAAATTATTTTGACGAAGTCCTCTTCGTAAAAAATGGATCGACATCAACGCAGCGGATCTTCACCCCGGAATAACAGAGAAGCTGCGTGAGGACATGTTTTCCATCCATGAGACACTTCATCTCATAAATTTGATCGACAATCTATGGGTTTGCATAGAAGTAGCCGTTTTCTCTTACAATGCTCCCAATTTCAACTTGCTGCAAAGGAGCAGATTTTGCACGCAAACACAACGCAGTGAACCCGTCTCGTCAAGGCCAGCGAGACAGTTATTCGTAACAGGAGCTGATCGATTCGTCGTCATCAAGAATCTCAGCCATCCGAAGTGATTGATTGGATCAGTCTCAACATCAACCTCACGAGGCGACACACCAATCATGCGTCGCGATTCCAGGTGTTAATGACCTGTGTGGAAAAACATTCCGTGCATGTCACGATGCTTGACAGATTGAGGAGTAATTAACCTCGAATCCGGCAAGTACTCGTTCACTAGCGACCCTACGACACATGCATTGGAGACGATTCTACCAGAAGTCGAAGCGTTACAAGCATCAGCGTAACTTCGACGATGCAGGAGAATGCCAAGAAACATGAGGTGTCAACACATGAGGGAGATGCAGACTACTACAACACGATCACGCGCTCTATTGACCGTACATCGGAGGCATGGATGAGCATACCAGGAATTGCTACCCGTGGATACATTGAGGGGAGAATACCCTCAAATGAAACAATCACCGCAGCAATGAAGCAACATGTGTACTAATGTGCATGTGTTCCTGGTAGTTACGCCTATTACACCCATTAGAAACACTCTACCGGGAAGAGGGAGTTGATGGATTCTCCTTCAACCATTACGAGTTAAGAGAATTCTTTGCAGCAGTTGCCGCCGTCGCCATCGTCGCAATCGCCGCCGCCACAGCAGAAGACTCGATACAGCAGTCACAACCAATTCCTGATGGATGATTCTCCGCTCAATAGAGATAACGCTGGATTATATTCTAGTGGATCGTAAAGTCCCGGCCAGGCACAATAGTATGATTTCCAACTAGTGGGAAAAGATACCACTATGCGAGGGAACAACATGGCAATGCCATATACCCTCAAGAGCAAGAGATATTTGCTCTTATGAGGATGGGAGGACTACAGCAATCTACCGGCATACAAGTCCTCATGGCCTATGGCTTTCCTTGAAGTCATAAAACCTGCGTTGCAACCAATCCATCACCAGCACCACCTCCACGGAAGCAGATAGGCGTGAAATGGAGCGCCGACGCCACTCCGGATAGTGGACTCCGCGTATCTCCAACAACACCCCTATTTGCCAAAATGGAGCAGACTTCAACACTGATGCTGAGTAGCTGAGACGTTTTCGACATCAACGCTACTTCAAGGACAGTAATAGAATGAGAAGACACATGATGGCACCAGAAGACCTATCCCAATATGTGCGCCCAGACACCAATGACCTACCGATGGCCTCTGTGCTAAACTGGAAGTGCATAAGGTCATACTGGATTGGCTGTCAGCAATGCCCATTTGGAAATGGGAGAGGATAATTTGGGAATAGCCCTAACGTTCCCAGATGTCCTAACCCATCACCATGTTGGTGCGTTGTGCCGCATGTCTCATCAAGACCAGTGTTGGTGCCGAATGCTATTCCTTTTGTGCAGCTATCTCAAATCCACTCCATGCTAGTTGGCAAGTCCAAGCTCAGCTTGCTTGCTGCTCAGTGCAGTTGAGTGGGCCGATCCTGACAAGTCTGGAGGTCCAGCAGGATGCCATTCTCACCTGCCATTCTT